CTCCCCAGCCAAAATTACCAAGAAAAAAAGAGAAAACATGAAAATAAACAAACAAATGCAAAAGATCAAATCACGACTGACCCCAAGGAAATACAAAGGATTATCAGAGATTACTATGCACACCTGTATGGAAACAAACTCAATAACCTAAATAAAATGAAGCACTTTCTGACATCACACAACACCCAAGGTTGAAACAAGAAGACACTGAGACATAAACAGACCAATAACAACTCGGGAAATTGACTCTATCAAAAGAAAACAACATACAAAAAAAAGCCCTGGACCAGACAGCTTTCCAGCAGCATGCTACAAAACATACAAGGAAGAGCTGATACCAATCCTATTGAAAGTATTCCAGGCAATTGAGAAGGAGCAAACTCATTTTATGAAGCTAACATCACACTGATACCCAAACCACATAAAGATCCAACAAAGAAAGAGAACTACAGGCCAATCCCTGAGGAACATAGATGCAAAAATTCTCAGCAAGATTTTAGTAAATCAGATCCAACAACACATCTCAAATCATTCATCATGACTAAGTAGGTTTCATCCTTGGGATGCAGGGCTGGTTCAACATCCCTAAGACCATAAACATAATTAAATACATCAACAGATATAAAAACAAGAACCACATGATTATATCATTAGATGCGATGCAGAAAAAGCTTTTGATAAAATACAGCATTGCTTTTTGATAAATACCCTTGAACACCTGGGCACAGAAGGAACAGACCTCAAAATAGTAAGCACCGTCTATGATAAACCCACAGCCAGCATATTGCTAAATGAACAAAAACTGGAAGTATTTCCTCTGCAAACCATAACAAGACAAGGCTGTTCACTCTCACCCCTCCTGTTCAACATAATATTGGAAGTCCTAGATAGAGCAATCACAAAAAAGAAGAAAATCATGGGTGTTCAAATAGGAAAAGAGGAAGTTACGTTATCCCTCTTTGCTGACGATATGATCCTATACCTCAAAAATCCAAGAGAATGTGTCATTAACCTCCTTTCACTGATAAAGGACTTTGGTAAAGTCTCAGGGAACAAAACAAATGTACAAAAGACAGTCACATTCTTATACACCAAAAACAAACAGGCAGAGAGCCAAATAAAAAACACAATTCCATTCACAATAGTCACCAAAAAAATGAAATACCTCAGCATCTTCCTAACCAGAGAAGTGAAAGACCTTTACAACAAAAACTACAAAACACTGCTCAAAGAAATCAAAGAAGATCCAAACAAACAAAAATATTCCATGCTCATGGGTAAGAAAAATCAACATTGTTAAGATGTCTGTCCTACCAAAGGCAATATACAGATTCAACACAATACCCATTACATTACCAATATCATTCTTCTCAGACCTGGAAACGACAATACAAGAATTCATATGGAAACATAAAAAACCACACAAATAGCCAAAACAATTCTCAGCAAAAAAAAAAAAGCAGGAGGTATCACACTTCCACCCAGATTTTAAACTTTACTATAAGGTTATAGTAATAAAAACATCCTGGATTAGAACAAGAACAAGCATACAGACCGACTGAACAGGAGAGAGATTCCAGAATCAAAACGTCAATTTCTCAACCAACTCATCTTCAAAAAAGCCTCCAACAATAACCACTGGGGAGAGGAGAATCTATTCAGTAAGTGGTGCCGGGAAAACTGGCTGACCACATGCAGAAGATTCAAACAGGACGCTTACCTATCACCATACACAAAAATCAACTCTAAATGGATCAAAAACCTAAATGTGAAACTGAAAACTATAAGAATCTTAGAAAACACAGGAGACACCCTTATGGGAATCAGAATAGCAACCAATTCCTGATCAAAACCCCAGATCTGACCACGCTATGAGAGATAAGATAGACAAGTGGGACCTCATTAAACTGAAAACCTTTTGCAAAGCAAAAGAATCCATCAAGAGATTAAGGAGACAGCCCATGGAACAGGAAAAAATATTTGCCAACTGTATATCTGACAAAGGCCTAACATCCAGGATCTACAAGGAACTCAAACATGCCAAGGAAAAAAAACAGAAACAAAAAACAAAAAAACAGCCCCATTAAAAAGTGGGTAAAAGACATATGAGCAGCCAACAGATACATGAAAAAAACTCAGTCTCACTAAACATCAGAGAAATGCAAATCAAAACCACATTGAGATACCACCTAACCCCAGTTAGAATGGTCATCATGAATTAAAAAAAAAAAAAAGATGCTAGTAAGGATGCAGAGAAAAAGGAACGCTTTTACACTGCTGGTCAGAATGCAAACTAGTTCAACCTCTGTGGAAAACAGTGTGGTGATTTCTAAAAGAACTAGAAATTGACCTTCTATACAACCCAGCAATTCCCCAGCTGGGAATATACCCAGAGGAACTCAAATCACTCTACAAAAAAGATATCTGCACACACATTTATTTGCAGTAGCAAAAACATGGAACCAACCATGAACTGGATTTTAAAAATGTGGTACATATACACGATGGAATATTATGCAGCCATAAAGGACAAACTTGTGGACTTTGCAGCAACTTGCATGGACTTAGAGTCTATATAATACTCAGTGATCTACCATAGAACCAGAGAACTGAGTACCACATGTTCTCACTCATAAGTGGACCCTGAACATTTACCATAATACGGTAAGAAAGGGATTAACTTTCTTAAACTGTCAGGGGAAGGAGGTGCACATAATACCAATAAGGGTACCAGATCTCAAACCATGTGAAGTGGGGACCAAAGGGAGGCCCAAACTTTACCAGTATGATGACCACTTGTATACCTAATCCTGAATTGTACCTCACATCTTTAAAATGATTTAAAAAGCATGTTATGATCAAAGCTTTGCATTTTAGACATTAAAAGAAAACCTGACTTAGTAGGACACACTTCTCTCCATAAGAGTTTTAAGTGAATGTATATTAATTAAATCACATGAGAGAAATGAGCATTAATATCCATTTTATTTTTAAAAGTTATGTATATATTAAAAACAAAAATAGCTTTAAAAATTGATTTAACATTTTGTATAAAATGTTTTAGCATTATTAAAATTTGTTTACTAAATAAATTTATCAAAATACAAATAGGATATTTTTTAAAATCCAATGACAGTCTACTAGTGGAATCCAAATATAGTAACAAAGCACTACTATTGTATCCTGTAGGTTATTTCTACAGGGCATCCAAGTCTCAAGTGGCCTGACTGCTGCTTGTCCCACTGCCCAGAGGCTACTTTCAGAGACAGTGATACTTTAAGTAGCCTTCAACAGTCAAACTACATAAGCCATCTCTTTAATAAGTTACTTACAGTGTTACCATGAATAACACAGCCCAAGGTTTATTCCTAACAGTCACTCTGTTCTCACACAAAAGTGATTCTCAAGTTTTTTCCCATCCCACTTAAGGAATGAGACCCTTGACACAAGTTGTTCACATAAAAGCAATGATTAGGGAACGGGTTGAGAGCTGGAGTGATACTAATGCTACTTTTTAGCCCTCACCACCATCATGCCCTTGGTAAAGCAGAATGACTAGAAGTCATTGCTTTACAATACTGGGAGAGACCTCATATTATACTTTCTAAGAATAGCATACTGTGCAAAATTTAGGGCAGAGTCATTCAGTAGAAAGTACTGGAATTTCAATAAGTCCTACTTTATTACATCCCAAAAGTTTAAACATCAATTGCAAAATCAATACCATTTTTCCAGTTTGTTACAAACTAAAAAAGTCTTTATTTATGCTCTCCTAAAATATCTGACATCAACTATAATATGTTTATTTTTCTAACACTAATCAGTTAGATTTGTAACTCTTTTCAAACACAAAGTTATAACCATCTTTATGTGAAGTATACAAAATCATTCTCAGATTCAGTATTTTCTTTCTCCATAACAAAACATATAAACAAACAAACCACAATGAGTGGAATAATTAGCATGACATCTGAAAGTCTTTCTATACCAAGGTAAAACATAAATATTCAGGTTTGCTTATTGCTTATCTAAGGTGCAATGCATTGCATTTTAAGTCCTCAATCTTTAAAGTTAAAAAAATCTAAAATCACCTAACATTTTACTAGTCTTTAATTTCAAAAGTAATGTTTAAACTCTGGCTGTCTCCAGGAGTCTTAGTAAAGAAACAAATTTAGTAAAGAGATAGGCATTTAAAAACCACACATACAAAAGTCTAAATACAACAAACCAGATTTATAAATAGTTATAATGTGTCTATTTTTATATGCATAAAAATGTATTTACACCCAATAGATTAAAATGCTAGAAAAATTTACCAAGGCATACTGTAAATATTATTAATTGATAATTATTAATTATTAAAATATATTATAAATATTAATAATGTACAGGTCATTTAAAATTACTAATTAGTATTTAAATGTGTATTCCAATGAGTTTTCTGTAAAATTATAAATGTAAATACACTTAAATAACCAAGAATTTCTTAAGGATCCAAGCAAGCTACTTAGTTTAGAGAAGTTAAAAACAAAATGCTTGTTCTTTTTTTTTTTTGAGTTGGAGTCTCACTCTGTCGCCCAAACTGGAGTGCAGTGGCCGCTCCCGGCCACCACAGCCTCGACCCGCTGGGCTCCAGCAATCCTTCCGCTTCAGCCTTCCGAGTAGCCGGAATTGCAGGCACACACTACTACGCCCGGCTAATTTTTTGATTTTATTGTAGAGACGAGGTCTCGCCTGCCCAAATGGGTCTCGAAACCACGGGTTCAGGCAATCCACTCACCTCAGCCTCCCAAAGGCGCAGGATTACAGGCTCAGCCACCAAGCCCAGCTAAAATGCTTGTTCTTAAGACTGTATATGATTCAATTCCATTATTACAAATTACATATAACTTAATAAAACAAACATACCATTTGATATATGTACTTGAAAACCACAAAAGTATACATAAAAGGAAAGTTGTCAAAGATCTTTTATGGCTCAAAGACCTAAGCTAAATTACCTTGTATTTTCCCTGATCACAGCCACACAAAGTACTCTCCATGGTGTAGCTTCTCTGTACTCCTATTTCCCGCCAAACTACAACACGTGCTGTGGATTCCTTAGATTTTTCCACTACAAAGCTACAGCTGCTCATGCAAAATGCTGGGGCAATATGACTCAGTATCTTAGGCAAAGTCTGTAAAAATAAGAATGATAATAATAAACCAAAAGATTTTTTTTAATTTAAAAATTTTTTTAATTTTAAAAATCTTCATGAAAGCACAGTAATCAGAACAAGGAGAGCCATGTGAATATTCTTGCTATGCTCCTGCTATTCAAACATCAAAATGATCTTCTAGCTACTTTAGAATTTTGTTACTCTAAACAAATACAGTAAGCAGTTTGAACATATAATGAAAGAATCATATTCATAATAGCAACCAATAAGCAGAATAGAACCACATAAGAAAACCATGTTTAAAAATATAAATATATGTTTAAAATACAAAGAAAAATTTAGTCACAAGAGACTGAGAAAGTTACACTGTAGATGTCAATATCTCTAAATTAATTAACAAAGCTAAGACAGTCACAAACAAAATACTCCAAAGTTTTCTGCACTGGAAATTATTCTCAAGTTAATCTGCAAGTGTAAATATAGAAGTATACCCTGGAAAGTTCTGGGGGAAAAAAAAAAAAGGTTATGACTGGAGAAACAATCCAACAGATAACAAGTGTGATTATATATCTAAAGTCAGTGAAATTGTGATGCTGATATAAGGACAGATCTCTAGAAAGAAAGAAAGTTCAGAATTAGAACCAAAGGTACTAAATTTATTATTATTACTGGAGGAAGGATTGATCGTTTAATATTGACAAAACTGAATAGTCATTACAAAAAACAATCTGAAGTCACTCTTCATTTAATTAAATTCTAAGTGGATTGATAATTTAAACTTTAAAAAGTAGTAAGTACACTTTAAAAATGAGATGAAACTGAGCACGATGGCTACCACTTGTAATTGCAACACTTTGGGAGGCTGAGCAAGGAGGATCGCATGAGGTCAGCCTGGGCAACATCTTGTCTGTACCAAAAAAAAAAAGCCAGGCATGGTAGCATGTGCCTATAGTTCTGAAATATCTGTAAAACCTATAATGGCCTGTAATGGCTTCACAAAAGTAACTTAATTTTGTTAAAAATCTTCCATCTTAGCTGCCAGCACACCCAGATGCAATCCCCCTGAGTGTGACCGTTGCAACCTTCCCATACTCACAAACCCAATCCTTGTCCCACTCCCTTGTTCTCCTGGTGTTTGAAAACTCCTTAACTACAAGTTCCTTGTTCTAATTGTATCCTTGCTTCAGATGTGTGACAGGTAATTGTTCCTTTTGTTTTTAGTTCCTTGTTCCCTCACTCCCCTGCTATGTAGCCCACTTGCGGTTTTTGCCTTTATAAGCCTTTTGCTCGGGGTCTAGAGCTTTTGGAGGCGTGCATGAGCCCCCTCTCGACCACCAGCTATTAAAGGACTCAAAATTCGACTCTCAGTGTGTGGTGACTCCTTTCTCGCACTCCAGTTATAACAGTTCCAGCTGCTCACAAGGCTGAGGCATAAGATCACCTGAATCCAGAAGGTCGAGGATGCAGAGTCGTGCTTGTGCCACTGCACTCCAGCCTGGGCCACAGAGTCATACTCTGACTCAAAATACATACATACATATAATATATATACATACAATGAAATTAAAAACTGTAAAGGAAAACATGAACTGCACTTTTAAAATCTTGGAATAAGAAAAGTCTGTCTAAGCCTCAAAACCAAAAAAATAAAATCTTTAAAAGAAATCAACAAACATGTTAACTTTTTTTTTGAGTTGGAGTCTCACTCTGTTGCCCAGACTGGAGTGCAGTGGCTGCTCCCAGCCACCACAGCCTCGACCTGCTGGGCTGCGGTGATCCTTCCACGTCAGCCTTCCAAGTAGCCAGAATTACAGGCATGTGCTACCATGCCCAACTGATTTTTTGATTTATTATAGAGATGAGGTCTTGCTGCCCAGGCGGGTCACGAACCCGCGGGCTCAGGCAATCCACTCACCTCAGCCTCCCAAAGACGCGGGATTACAGGCTGAGCCACCGAGCCTGGCTACATGTTAACATTTTAAATTACTACACACCATAAAAAAATTAGAAAATATATTTCCAAAACAAAGAGTTCTTGTTTTAAAAACAATAATAGATGATCAGTATGAAACTAAGCAGAAAATATGAGAAAAGGCTATTTTAAAGGAGATCATAATTGGCCAAACATGAAAACTCAACCTCATTTATCAATATGCTAAGTAGAACAATCAGATAGGCCAGGCTCGGAGGGTGAGCCTGTAATCCCAGCACTTTGGGAAGCCAAGGCGAGTGGATTGCCTGAGCCCACAGGTCCAAGACCAGCCCAGGCAACTTGATGAGACCTCGTCTCTACAATAAATAAAAAAATTAGTCAGGTGTGGTAGCGTGTGCCTGTAGTTTCGGCTACTTGGAAGGCTGAGGCGGAAGGATTGCCAGAGCCCAGCAGGTCGACGCTGGGGTGGCTGTGAGAGTGCCACTGCACTCCAGCCTGGGCGACAGAGTGAGACTCCAACTAAAAAAAAAAAAAAAAATCAGATATTATTTTCACCTGACCAAAGATAATAGCACAATGTATAAAGGGTGTGAAAAGGCAGCACTATCATTCATGGTATTTAGGAGTATCAATAGGTGCAGTCTTTATGATGGACAGTTTGGAAATAAATATCAAATGACTACCAACAGAAACTACTGAATAAATTTTGGTACACCCATACAATAATAACAAAAATACACAATGGAAATCTTGTATAATTGTTAGAACTGAGATAGATTCAGACGTGATGACTTGGAAAGATGACCAGCAAACATTATCACGTAAAACGCAAATTGCTATGTAGTGCTTTCTAAAAAATTAAAAGACAAAAACCGCACATACTATATGTATATACATTTATGAATGGCTGTGCTCAGAGGCAAATCTCACAATAGACATGGTAAAACTGACCAGTGTGAAGAGAAAGATTGGGAGAAGATGACTTTTACTTACTAATTTATATATTTGAGTGTCTTCACGACAAAATGGAGTGGTGTGTTTTATATCATTCCAATAATTTTATTTATTTAGAGAGGGGGAAGAGGAGAGAGGACATCAAAAAGAAAATGTGCTTTAAATTTCTTCTTAGGGCAGTGGTATGTTACTGAAACATTTTTTGGGAAAATAATCTGGGATGCTTGACTGACCCAGAGGTCTTAGCTGACTCATTTGTACAGTAGTAGTGATGATCCCTACCTAGATCACAGAGCACTGAAGGCCCAAACAAAAAATTCATATGAAGTGACTAAAAGCTATAAACACAATCCAAAAAAGTAATATAACTGTTAGATGCTTATCTATATGTATAATTAATTTATCCATTCATTCAGCAAATATTTACTTAATACCTTCTAAATACTGGGAGTACTCAGTCAACCAAAGAAATAAAAGTGCTAATCTATATTATTCTTAGTCATCTCATTCAGGAGTGATGGTCTGCTAGCTACAATATTTACCAGTATTAGAAGATGCTTAAAAAGCTAATAGTTGTTTTACTAAAACTAAATCACATATTTTCTTCTAGTAAGTTGAACATCTTAGATATAAGTGTTGAGTATCCTCAATTCAAAAATCTGAAATCTGGTATGATCCAAAATCCAAAACTTTTTGATACTCTGGATACACAGAGGAATGCTGAGCATTTCAAATTTCAGATTTTGAGATTAGGAATGCTCAACCAGTAAGTATAATACAAATATTCCAAAATCCAAAACACGCCTGGGCCCCAAACATTCCTGATAAGAAATAGTCAACCTATAATAACAAAGATTTGGTATTAAAAAAATTAGTACTGTTTCAACACTTTAACTAAACTACAGACCTTATTCAAATTTCAACAGTTTTTCCAATCTCTTTTGTTTCAGGATCCTATCCAGAATCTCACATTGCATTTAGTTATTATTTCTCCTCAGTATCCTGCAGTCTATGACAGTTCCTTAGTCCTGTATCTTTCATAATCTTGATACTTGATGTTATTTTTTCAAATGATCAACTTATATGCCATAATTTTTTATATTTCCCCCCAAATATAAACACTTGCACTTAAAGGACAAAGGAATACTATGATTTATCATCACAAATACAGTATTTATATGTATTAATCCATCCTTTCCCAATCATCTGACAAAAAGGGTTCTACAGTATGGTAGTGGCCCAGCAAAAGTGTTCACATCTTCATTCCCAAAATATAGGAATATGTTACTTTAGATGGCAAAAGGAACTGTTCAGATATGATTCAGAGATTATCTAGAATTATCTCAGTGACCCTTGGGGTGGGTATGGAGAGGGATGACAGGGAAGGGATTCTCCCCTAGAGCTTCCAAAAAGAACACTGTGCTGCTGAGATCTTGATTCTTAACCCAGTGAGCCTTGCATTAGACTTCTGATCTACAGAACTGTAAATTAATAAATCTGTATTCCTTTAAGCTCCTACATTTGCCATGTCTGCCACAACAGCCATAGGAACTAACACATATGATTATAAAATTATGGGAAATGCTCCACTTTCTCACACACACCAGCAACTCTGAAAATTTAAGATGAATGTGAAGATTCTGAGGTTTCATAAAGAAATGAAGTTAACTGTGTCTAATGCAATTACTACACATATCTGATCACAAAACTATTTTGAAACAATGCAAAATACAGCTTGAGAAATGTACTTTGGGGGGAAAGTGTATTATTTATCCTGTCTAACCTACAGCATCATCCTCCGTTTCCTTTCGCAACAAAACCCAGAGGATTAACCAAATATAGACACTTGGAGCAAGACAGTTAATTTTAATGAAAAAAAACTGAGACCAAAGAGAGTTAATTTTATCTCTTATAATGGGAAAACATGTCTTGTATTGATCTTCCCACATGTCTGTCTGCACTCATCAGCCAATCCTTCTAACAAATATTGACTGCCTATGATGAATAAGGTACAATGTTATGTAGCAGCAGTGCTCACAAAATTGAGCAAATCAGACATATTTGCTAGGCACGTGGAGTTCAGTATCTAGTATTAAGAGAAACCCATTAATCAAATAATAATATACAAAACCTTAAAATTATAATTATGTGCTATGAAAGAGAGAGAATCTTGTAAATGTGTAATCTGACTTTGCTTCAGGGGCTTAGTGAGAATTCCCTGAGCAGTGGACCATGATAAATAAGCATAAATGACTAGGTAAAGGAATGCTAGTGGCAGTCAGTGGTGGTATTCCACACAGCGGACAGTCCATGGAAAGGCCCTACGTATGTGCTCTTTGTCTAGCTTTCTCCCATTCCCTGGCCCTCTCGCTAGTTTCACTTTTGAATGTTGCTTATTTGGGTCTTAACAAAATAATCCTAATTTATCCTCTAAATCCCTGAGCTCTGCTAATCTGCTCTGTTTTCTTTAGTTATTATGGCCTAAGCTAATAAGACGCTACCTTTCTGAAGGTAGCATGGCAGTCATATTTATTGGAATGTTGACATACTGGGCATTTTACATACGTTCTTGAGCTTTCCCTTCACCTTTATCCAGGGCTTTGTCTCTCTCTTGAATTTAATTTCTTTATGCCTTCCTCTTTAAGAATATTCCTTTACTTTGGCAAGAATATCTTCAAGTAGCTTCCAGAGAAAAGCTATTTGTGAGCTAAATTTTTATGACTTTCAATGTCTGAGAACATCCTTTTTACTTTCACCCTTACTGTTAGGATAGAGTAAAAAATTTAAGGTTAGAAATTTAGTTGAAAATGTGAAAGCATTGCTCCACTAAGTTTTTGCTTCCAGTGTTGCTATTGAGAAATGTGATCCATTCAATATGTAATACTTCATAGAAGGATATGAAATTTTGTAAAATTTCTCTTGAAAAAAATCAACAGCTTTCCTATGTACCGTCAATGATCAAATGGAGGCAGGCAGATACATGTGGAGAAAAATCCCATTCCCAACTGCAACAAAATCCATAAAGTGTTTGGGAATAAATCTAGCAAAAATATCACATCTCTATTGAAGAATATAAGAGGTCTGACTGAACAAACAGGTAGGCAATGCTCATCGATAGCAATGCTATATATCATTATCATCATAATTCTGCCCAACTTAATTCAGATTTAATGCAACTCTGATTCAAATCCTAACAAAGTTTATCCATGGACTGATCCTAAAATTCCCAAGAATACAGACAAAAAAGAGCCAAAGCAATTTTTAAAATAAGGGAAATTTGTCCTACTAAATATCAATACTAATTATAAACCTACAGTACAGTAAGTTATATTCTGAGAGCACATTCACAAATCTAATCTGTTTGTAAGTCCAACAAAGTTAGTCTAGGTACCCAACTAACACAATCAGCTATATAGTACCAGCAACATCACTGCTGCTTTTACACTTGCTTCCAATATCCTGGGAATGAAATATAGATAGTGTACAATAAAGTACACAAAAGTACAACCACTTACAGAGGATACACGCACGTGACAATGTACGTCAGACACATGACTAACTTATATGATTGAATATGCAAATGCGCATTCACATCCTTGAAGTTTGCAACTTGAAGGTTCATATGTATGGGACTTACTGTCATTCAAACAATGTCGTATGCAAAGAAATAGAAACAAGAACGACAAGAATAATAGAAAGCCCCATGTCGCACTCACATATGTGGAAATAAGGTATATAATAGACGGTCTCAACAAATCGACATAGGAAGGAGGCACTAGCTAGTAAATGGTGCTGAGGCAACTGGTTTTCACGGGGAAAATAAAATTAAATCCCTACATCTCATACAAATATTAATTCCAATAGATGAAAAATCTAAACATAAAAAACAAAACTTTTAAAGTGAAAAATCTGAAACAAAAATGGCAACATTTACTATATCTGAGTGGTTCATATATATTAAATGATATTCTCTAATTCAGAAACTCATAAATCATCTGTAATAATTACCCTGTATCCCATATCTTCCACAACATCACATGAAGTTGCGTTGGTATCATTGGTATGCCACACTGTCTCTTTGATGCTGCAGCCATACATAAATACATTCTTCTTTCGGGAATGGCCATGATAATCACAATAAACCTTGAAAAAAGTATAGAGTTTAAAAATTAAAAGCCTTCAGATCATATATTGGCAAGTAAATGTAGTTAATATCAAGCCAATGAACAGGTAGAGATCTGTGGTTCTTCATCTTTTTATTATAAGAGAACTACCATTTAACAAGGAGAATCAACAAAATATCTAGTTTTGGGAAAGATCTATAATTAATTCTAGAATTGCTAAATCCTTTAAAGTCTTACATCATCTTTGAATCTACTATTCACCACTTAAAAAATAATTCAATACAGGGAGTGGTGGTTCACACCTATAATCCCCAGCACTTTGGGAGGTGAAGGCAAGAAGATTGCCTAAGCCCAGGGATTCAAGCCTAGGCAACTTGGCAAGCCCTTATCTCTAAAACAAATAAAAAATTTAGCCAGGTGTGGTGGCATGTGCCAGTGATTCCAGCTATTCAGAAGGCTGAAACAGAAGGATCATCTGAGCCCAGCAGATCAAGGCTGTGATAGCCATGAGCGTGCCACTGTACTCTAGCCTGGGTGACAGAGTGAGACTATGACTCAAAAATAAATAAGTTTAATTCAATAATTCAATTATAGTTCAAATCTACAACTGCAGTCATCACTGTCCTAGAAGGCAGTTAAAACATCTACCTAATTTAAAAGAAAAGAAAATGCCCTCGTGAAAAACACTGTTAAAAAGTGTATGTTTTTAATTTAATTTTTAAAAGCATTATTTTAAAAATAAAAAAGAACAGATATGTCAACTTTAACCCGCTGCAAAGTTTTCCAATTTTTCCAAAAGAAAGATGAAATAATTCAAACACTAATATAATGGAAATATTCTAATCAAAAACTGGTGTGAACAGAAGCCACAGTCCAGTATAGTCTAACATCAGGTCTGTTCTACATTTCCCATGTGTGTATTAGAGACTTAACAATTTTAGAGCTGACTAAATAACTCAGAAATAAGCTTCTACTAGTTTGAGAACCTGGAAGACACATATTGTTACCTTAATGTTGTTCAAATAGTGAAGTTATATATCTAAATTTACAACCAGGAGTTACCTATATTTTTATAAATAAATAAAAGCTTTCTGAGAATTATAAACATTCAGCCTGATAAAATTAAGAAAATGTGTATACTGTATTAATTTGACATCATAATTATAATACAAGTGATTGATAATAGAAAAATACATTTATCTTTGACTATATACAAAGCAAAAACAAAGATTGCCGCTTACCAAGGGTAAACGCTTCACTGCAGCCAGGTACTGTAGGAGCCCTTTAGCATGGTAAATCGTAGGATGTAAATCTGGATTTGGACTTTGCCATTGTCTGTTCAAATCTTCTCCACTTAAAGAACAGCGGTGACTACACATATATAACACAAAGATAGAAAAACACTGGTACCAATAAACCCTTATACACATTTCTGATTTACTTGTATGATTCTATTCCAGTAAGTATTTCAAATAGATATAAATGGTGAGCCCAATCAAATGCATATTACATTCATTAAGAAAACATTTACTGAGTATTCACTGTGCAAGATTTTATGTCTCATGCATTTAAATGTGGTAAGCTTTCAGAGCTATAATATAATTTTGCAGCTATGAAAAAATTAATTCTCAACTCTGTGATTTTCTTCTACACTTTATGATCACATTTTCCATTGTGACTACATAATTATCATTTGCTATACTATCATTCTATATCTTGATTTCATAAGTTATTTTGTTAAAGTGCTATCTGGGCCCTTCTAAGAAAGACAAGCATATGTAAAGTATACATTCTTATTTTAAAAATCATGTATCTTTTCTTTTTTTTGAAAGTGAGAAAGGAGGATTTATTAAGAGGACAGAAAAGTTCCCACAGTGGTACAGGGTTGCCAGATTGTACCTTTTCATTTATTTATAGGTACTAGGTACTAAAACCATCATGCAAAAAACTAAAATAATCTGGAAGTGATAAATAAATTCTAATTGGTCAATGTGTTTCTGGATTAAAAACATACCATTTTAATTCTATAACAGTAATATATTAACTAAAAAAATTCTATTTTTAAAAAAGTCAACTACCTAAAATATGAGAAATATTCATGCTACTTATATTGAATAAATAAGATATGGTATTCTCATATTTGGAGATGCTCATGACAGTTAGACTAAATCCCACCTTTCAGGAGCACTACACAGATCTTGTCAAATTTCTAGAATAAATTTACTGTACTAACTATTTGCCATCTCCACATAAAAATCATTCAGTTTAAAGAATTCCTTCTGTCAAAAACTAGACCTACTAATTTCAGGAAGAAGTTAATAGATGGGACAGTGGAAAGAGATCCCAGAAGATTCTTTTTTTTTTTTTTTTTGAGTTGGAGTCTCACTCTGTCGCCCAGACTGGAATGCAGTGGCACGCTCCTGGCCACCACAGCCTCGACCTGCTGGGCTCTGGCAATCCTTCCGCCTCAGCCTTCCAAGTAGCCGGAACTATAGGCACACGCTACCAGGTCCAGCTAGTTTTTGCTTTATTGTAGAGACAAGGTCTCGCCAAGTTGCCCAGGTGGGTCTCGAACCCGCGGACTCAGGCAATCCACTCGCCTTGGCCTCCCAAAGCGCTGGGATTACAGGCTGAGCCACCAAGCCCGGCCAGAAGATTCTCAATCTTAGAAAAATCTAGGACCAAACCACTAACAAATAAAAGAAACAAATAGGAGAGGCATGAGTTAATCTTTTTCATATCTTGACTCTGTGGTCTTTCTAAATAATTCAAGCAAGATAGATATTTTATGAAGGCATATTCTCAAGGATACAGAATTTCTTAAAATTTCCTACCACTACTACTAGCATACGAAATATATTTTCATTTAAAAGTTTATCTTAGATAAATTAGATAAATTGCCCACCAAAATTTTCATTTTTCTAAAAAAAAAATCACTAGATTTGTTTTCCAAGTTAACCTGGACATTTTTATTTCAACAAGTTTATACAGGAAAACCACAATGAATAATCTGTAATATATTCTATAACTATTGCTTAACTTACTTTCCATTGATGACACCATCTGGATTTAGCATAGGAATTATTTTAAAAATAAAGGATTCTCGTAAGCTCTGGGCAGTAGGATTATTACTCATGAGATACTCCAATGTTCCTTTCATAACCCAACTTGCATTAGTTTCTCCAGGATGTACCCGAGCAGATAAGAAAACATAAGGGCGATTTCCTAAAGTACACATAAAATCTCAAATTAAAATGAACAGCTACTAAAAGTTTGTATGACAATTTATTTTGGGACTTAGAAATGTCCCTATTCAGTTGTGAATTCTGATATAAATTCATAGTAGAACTCATGGTGCACTTACTATATACAAGCAATGCACTAAGCCCTATAAAGGAAACAAATATAAAAGCAATATAAACCATGTCCTGAAAGAGCTCCTGACAGGAATATGAAACAATAAGTAGTATTTGAGACACTTTTATTTCTTTCCCAATGATTAATCTAACATAAAATTAGTTCTTTAATATAATTTTTATTTTATAAAGAACAAGTAGTCAGGAAAGTTTAAAATAAAAAATTATTTTTTATAAATCAGGAGAAAAAGAAAGAAAATACAATTTTACCCCTTGTCTTATAGTTGCTATAATAAGCACAGAGAAAAAAATGTATCTGCTCAGAGACTTACCAAAAAAAAAAAATTCACTATATATTGAGATACACAAGTCTACAAAATAATCACTCAGTTCATCACTCTTATCTTTATACATAATAAGCTCCTTCTCTTTCCTGAAAATGTCATATCTTCTTATCAAAATTAGAATGGTGTTATTTTTATAACCACACCTGTACATTTGAGGCAATTTAAAAAATACAAATGGCAGAGAAAAATAAGTAGCTATTTGGTGCTAGCTATCAAAACAATTTATAGGTTTCTGGCTGTTTTATGTATAAATACTATTAGTTGTCAATTTTTAAATTGGTGATTTTATTACATGACCTCTTACAATAATTTGCTGTATTCAACTTTGAATCCGATTTCCAAGGAGAAAAACCAAAACACAGTAGTATCAAAAGAGACTTGGAGAACGTCTCTCATGCAGTCCTTGTGTTCAGGATGAGGAAACTGAGGCCCAGAGGTAGGTCTACAGCCAGGCAAGTACCAGAACTGAGATTAGCACCCAACTTTTCTGGTGTCTGTTCTATTATTTCCAATATGAATATATAGAAGAGCAAAGAAAAGTGAGAATGATTGCTATTCTGAGTAAAGAAGACAGACTTACTGAATTGACAGATATGTTCATAATAATTAGATTCCGGCATTGCTGTTATAGTCACCAATGGACAGCTGTTCCCAGACAGGGTTGCACATAACACATCTTTTCGAAAATAGATTTGCTGAGGATTGTGTGCAGATTCCAATTTTTGAAGATGCATCTTGATAAAAATTTAAAAGCAAAGTATATAATCACTTAAAAACTTCCAACAATATATAGAAATAATGCATCCAGATCTCCACATAACTAGAAGTGAACCAGATTCTTAACCCCTTATGCAAAATCCTCAGAGCTGGATGGAGTCTAAGCCTCAGTATTTGGGAAACTTGAGAAAGGTGTATATTGTATATACTATTAATTATGCAACACCATCAATGGTGTTGGGGGAGCAGTGTAATAAACATCATTTTATTATTTATTCAGCAAAACACATAAAAAATTCCTATGTGGAACCCATATTCTAAATAAGTTCACATCAGTTCAGGTCAGGTTTTGCTGCCAAATAAGTTACAAAGAAGCTTTTGGTTTTCTAAGGCTTTTGAGTTTTGGAATTATGAGTAAGTAACTATAGACTTGCAACAGCATTCTAAAATTTAAATAACAAAAATTGTGTAGCACTAATTTTAACTACTTCTTTTCCAGATTTCAAGATCAATACAGGTTCATTATAAAATATCTAGAAGACAGAAAATATAAAGAATAAATTTAAAACACTCACAGATGCATCACTTAGTTTACTACTAACAAAAGCAAACAAAACCATAATTACATAAGACTTTCATAATCTAATTTATCACTTAACAATTTATTCACACAAATTATATTCAGAGTTAAAAATACTATACTACATCATTAAACATGTTAGATATGTTCTTTGAAAACACAAGTTTTAAAGGTCTTTTAAATATGGTCGTACCCCAAACTCAATTATCACCCAATTCTTTATGTTTAGATATTTAGTTGGTTTTCAAACTTTTGCCTATGTTCATTTAGACTAGTCACTATTAAGTGGTCACGATTTGCTGGAAGTGTGCAGGGCCCTGGAGATACGATGAACAAATGCACCCTACCTTAGGGAAAACACAGAGTGCTATGAGAACCTGTAAAAAGGAAAGGGGCGCGTAGCCAAGGCTGGGCAGTGAGGAAACATCTTCTAGAGAAAATTACATTTGCACTGAGATCAAGGATGAGCGAAGAGAAAATGAGCGCTGCAGACTGAGGGAACGTATCAGGAACACCGTGAGACAGAAGAAGAAGATTTCAAAGGACTCAACGTGATTCATTGTAGTAGTGAGACAGGCAAGATGGTCACCGAATGATCAGAGTGTGAGCGTCTGTGCAAAGTGAGCATCCATAAAGACTGTCTATGTGAGTGGGTATGTGCTGGTGGGTGAGTGAAAGTCCACCTGGGGAAAGACTCGGGTTTCAAGCACCCGGGGCTCTCCTCTGGAGGTATCTGCTACCCACACTGGTCTGAGATCAGAGCCCCTGGCATGCAGGCTCGTCTCCCATTCTGAAGGGTCTCTCGGGAGGAAGCAGCAGAAATCAGCCGCTCCTCAGCACCGGCACCTGGCCCATCCCACCATCTGCAGCAGCAGGCCGGATGCTAGCGGCAGGAACCATGGCGAAGGCGCGGGGAGGAAATCTGGAACCGAGCTCTGCCGCTGGCGAGAAGAGGCTGACTGCCGCCATTTTCTCTGTCCTGGGACAGGCAGAGACTTGCGTTGCCTCACCCAGCTCTGTCTAGACTCCAACCTCAGAAACAGAGGCTATCTCTGCACCCTTCTGTGATCAACCATCGAACACGGAGAGGCAGATGTCCCTCCCCCATGCTAGACAGGCACAGACACATCTGATTTGAGTGGCAGTCTTGGCAGCAACAGACAAGTCGGGATCTGACTCACCCTTCTCCTACAGTGGTCTGCAGGGTGTCAAACCCGCACTGAGAGCAACTCCAATGGTCGATGCTGAGAGCGGAGGGAATGGGCTAGAGACCGGAGCTGCACCCTAATGCAGTGGCAGTGCTTGGGAAAGGAACCTAAAGTTCCAGAAACGGCCAGAGAGGGAGTTCCTTTTTGAAAATTTCTTTCTGTTTTTGCTTTTGTATTTTCTTTACTTTGGGTATTTTATTGTTGTTTTTTAGATTTTCTGTTTGTATATGGGTATTTTTGAGAGGGAGTATGTCAGCAGGGTTTTCTTGATTGTTTGTATGGGTTTTTTTTTTCCTGTTTTTGTTTCTTTGGTAATTCGTTAGATGATGTGCCTGTCTGCTTTCCCTCTTCTTCTCTCTCTCAAACTTTCTTTCATCTCCCTCCTTCCTCTTTCCACTCTTTTCTTATCTCATTGCTTTCAGGGGGCAACACCCCCACCACATGGGCAGATTGTGAGGTAGTGGGAAGTGGGTCCCAGGGGGCCCACACAACTGTCAGGAGCTTCAGAGCCACAGCTCCCCCCTCAATCAAATCTCAAGACTGCCAAAAGCACAGAGCCCCAACACCAGTCCAGCATCCAAACTGAACAAGTTCAGAGGCTCTACATAAAGAAGAATAGGAGACTGAGCAAACAGAAGTGGAAGCTATTCCCATCACTTAACAACAGAGTTAGAGAAAGGAGAAAAAGGGGGAGGAAAACCTTCACAAATGAAGAAGAACCAAAGGAAGAACACAGGTCCCATACAGACTCCTGGAAGATAGTGACTGAGAATACAGACTTCAGAACTCAAAAAATGAAGAGCCCCCAGAACAACTGGTCTCAAAGCACAAACCCAGACACCAAGATTTACTAGAAAGAATAAATAGAAATGAGAGACAAGAAGAAAGAAGGAGCTGATAACTGAGATGACAGCAATAAAGAATACAGTGAATGAAATAAATAACAAACTGATAAGCATGAAAAGCAGAATTAATCAAGCAGAAGAAAGAATCTCAGAGCTTGAGGACCAAAATATAGAACTAACTCAAACTGTTAAAAACATACAAAAGAACATTAAAAAGGGGGAACAAAGTCTCTGAGTGATGTATGATTATATTAAGAGTCCAAACCTATGATTAATTGGAATCCCTGAGGCAGATGAAGAAACAAAGACCATCCTGGAACAACATTCCATTAAATTATCCAAGAAAACTTTCCTCATTGTATCAGTGATGTTACTATACAAATGCAAGAAATTCAGAAAACCCCCACAAAACATCAAATGAGAAGACCAACTCCTAGACACATAGTAATTTGCTTACACAAAGTAGTTATAAAAAAAAAAAAAACCCTAAAGGCAGCAAGAGAAAAAGGTCAGACTACCTACCTTGGAGGACCAATTAGCAAAGCAGCAGATTTATCAGTAGAAACACTATAGGCTAGACGAGACTGGAGTCCCATTTTCAAAGTTCTCAAAAATAAACAATTTCAACCAAGAATTTTCTACCCAGCTAAGGAAAGTTTCATCAGTGATGTAGAATTAAAATCCTTCCCAAACATTAAATCCCTAAGAGTTTATACCACCTCTAAACCAGCTCTATAAGAAACACTAAAGGAAGTATTAAACACAGAAGAAAGAAAAAGAATGACCACACCCTTCCCAAGAATGCAGGAAAAAGACTGAAAACACAGATATATCAACCCAAAAATAAAAAGAAAGCCAACAAACAACAACAAACTGTATAAGAACCTCATGACAGGGATGTACTCTCACATCTCTCAATATTAAGCCTAAATATACCACTGAAAAAACATAGAGTGGCAAACTGGATTAAAAAAAATATATATATGCTGTCTCCAGGAGACTCATCTCACCAGAAAGGACACTCACAGACTCAAAGTAAGAGGATGGAAAACAAATTTTCAGACAAATGACACACAAAAGAAAGCAGAAAGTGTGATCTTAATATTGGACAAAATATCCATTAATCTATAAAACATTTAAAAGATACAGAAGGTCACTAAATAATGATAAAAGGCTAAATACATCAATAAGAAATATCCATCCTAAACATATATGCACCCAACATAGGAGCATCAATTTTCATAAAGCAGCTTCTATGTAAACTAAAAAAAGATATTGACTCTGACACTATCATAGCTGGGGACTTAATTAACCCACTCACAACTGTAAACAGATCATTAAGACAAAAAATCAGCACGGAGATCTGAAACCTCAATGCAACACTTGACCAAATGGACTTAATTGATATCTACAGAACAATCCACTAAACAACCATAGAATATACATTCTACTCATCACCACATGGAACATACTCTAAGATCAACCACATCCTCAGTCATAAATCAAGCATAAACAAATTTCATAAGAATGAAATACTGGCATGCACCTTCTCAGACCACAGTGGAATAAAAATAAATATCAACACCAACGAAGTTCCCCCAAAACCCACAAAGATATGGACACTAAATAGTATGATGCTAAACAACTCCTGGGTCAACATGGAAATCAAAACAGAGATTAAAAGAAAACAAATGAAAATGAAAAAAACAAATGAAAATGAAAAAAAATCTTACCAAAACCTCTGGGATGCCATGAAAATAGCACTAAGACAGGAATGCATATTTCTACAAACACACATGAAGAAAATGGAAAGATCACAAGTTAACAGTCTAACAAAACACTTAAGGAAGTTGGAAAAGCAAGACCACCAAACCCTAACTTCAGCAGAAGAATCCAGATCACCAAAATAAAAGCCCAAATTAGGGACATAAAAGACAAAAATATAACACAAAAAGATCAACGAACCAAAAAGCTGGTTCTAGGAAACAATAAACAAGATCGATGAACCCCTAGCTAGACTAACCAAGAAAAAGAGAGAAAAAGTCCCCCCAAAACACAATCAGAAATGCAGAAGATCAAGTCACAACTGATGCTGAAGAAATACAAAAGATTGTCAGAGACTATTATGCACACTTGTATGGAAACAAGCTTGAAAACCTAAGGGGCACAGAGGACTTTCTGACATCACACAACCACCCCAGGCTGAAACAAGAAGAAATAAAGACCCTAAGTAGACCAATAACAACCTAGGAAATTGACTATGTCTTTGAAAACTATCTACAAAAAAAAAAGCCCTGGACCAGATGGCTTTCCAGCAGAATTCTACAAAACATATAAGGAGCAACTAATACCAATCTTATTGAAAGTATTCCAGTCTACTGAGAAAGATGGAACCTCCTCAAATCATGTTATGAAACTAACATCACATTGATACTCCAACCAGGCAAAGATCCAATAAAGAAAGGGAACTATAGGCCAATATCCCTGACAAATATAGGTGCTAAAATTCTTAACAAGATCCCAGCAAACCAGATCCAACAATACATCTCAAAAATCATCCACCATGAACAAGTAGGCTTCATCCCTGAGATGCAGGATGATGTAATTAAATACATCAACAGATGCAAAAACAAAAAACAAATGATTAACTACATCATTAGATTTGGAAAAAGCTTTTGATGAAATCCAGCACCCCTTCTTGATAAAAACCCTCAAACATCCAGGCATAGATGGAACATACCTTAAAATAATAAGAGGCATCTACAAGAAACCACAGCTAACATACTGCTAAACAGACAGAAATTGGAACAATTTTCCCTGAAAACCAGAACAAAACAAAGATACCCACTCTTTACCCTTCCTTTTCAACATAGTTTTGGAAGTCCTCAGCCACAGCAATCAGACAAGAGAAGGCAATCGGGGTATTCATATAGGAAAAGAGGAAGTCAAATTATCCCTCTTTGCAGACAATATGAATCTATACCTCAAAAACCCTAGAGAATCTGTCAAAAATCTCCTTGTACTGATAAAGAACATTGGCAAAGTCTCAGGGTATAAATTAAATGTACGAAAGACAATCACATTTCTATATACCAACAATAAACAAACAGAAACCCAAATAAAAAGCACAAATAGCCAAAACAATCCTCAGCAAAAAAAAAAACAAAGCAGGAGGTACCACACTCCCAGACTTTAAACTTTATTATAAAGCTACAATAATCAAAACAGCCCGATATCGTTACAAGAACAAGCATATAAGAATACTTATATAATGAACATTTGTATACCTAACCCTGAATTGTACCCCACATCTTTAAAATAAAACAATAAAAATAAAAAATAAAAAAGAACAAGCATATAGACCAATGGAACAGAATAGATATTCCAGAAGCAAAACCTCAATTTCTCAACCAACTCATCTTCAACCCTCCACCACCAACCACTGTGAAGAGGAGAACCTACTCAGTAAATGGTGCTGGAAAAACTGGCTGACCACATGCAGAAGATTAAAACAAGACCTCTACCTATCACCATTCACAAAAATCAACTCTAAATGGATCAAAGACCTAAATGTAAAACCTCAAACTATAAGAACCTTAGAAAATGCAGGAGACACCCTTATAGAAATTGGAACTGGCAACCAATTCCTGATCAAAACCCTAAGTGCCCATGCCATAAGAAATAAGACAAGTGGGACCTCATCAAACTGACAAGCTTCTAGAAAGCCAAAGAAACCATCAAGAGAACAGGGAGACAGCCTACAGACAGCCTACAGACATATATTTGCCAACTGTATGTCCGACAAAGGCCTAACATCTAGGATCTACAGGGAACTCAAACATGCCAAAAAGAAAAAACAAACAGCCTATTACAAAGTGGGCAAAAGATATGAACAGACAGTTCTCAAAAGAAGACATACGAGCAGCCAACAGATACATGAAAAAGTGCTCAGCCTCACTAGTCATCAAGGAAAAGCAAATTAAAAGCACACCAAGATACTGCCTAACTCCAGTCAGGATGGCCAACATCCATGACTCAAAAAACAACAGGAGCAGGAGAGGATGGAGGGAAAAGGAAACACCTCTACACTGTTGGTGGAAGTGTAAACTAGTACAACCTCTGTGGAAAACAGCTTGGTGATTCCTAAAAGATGTAAAACTCAACCTGCTATAGGACCACACAATCCCCCTCTGGGAATATACCTGGAAGAACTCAAATCACTCTATGAAAAAGATACCTGCACATGCATGTTTACTGTAGCACCGTTCACAATAGCCAAAACATGGAACCAACAGCTGTCCTTCGAAAAAGGACTGAATAAAAAAAATTTGGTATACATACATGATGGAATATTACACAGCCACAAGGAAGGCCAAAATTATGAACTTCACAGCAACTTGGATGGACTTAAAACTGAGTGATCTACCACAGAAACAAAGAACTGAGTATCACATGTTCTCACTCATAAGTAGACCTTGAACATGATCATAATACTGTAAAAAAGGGTTGACAGAGTGGAGATTTGCCGGGGTGGAGAGGGGGGCAAGGGGGGAGCACACCTCATCAACAAGGGTACCTGCATAATGCATATTTGTATACCTAACCCTGAATCGTACCTCACACATCCTTAAAATAAGAAAAAAGAAAGAAAAAAGATGTTTAAATAAATAATAGTTCAAATAGTATATGGCCAAAAAAGTGACAAATATACAGAAATGACAGAATGAACCATGCAAGAATTTTGACTTCATAAAAAGGCAAGAGAAATCACTACTCATAAGCAGGGTACTTATATGATGAGACTAGCTATTAAAGAGCTCTTTGGCTACAGTGTGGAAAAAAAAGACTAATGAAGAAGAAAGAGGCAAAAGTGAATCCTAGTATACCAGTTGAAAAAAAATTGGCAGAAGTCCAGGAGAGAGACCATGGTCATGCCTGGGAAAGGTCACAATAGAGGGATTGGAAGAAAGCAGAAGAATTCAAAATATATTAAAAAGGCAAGACTGGTAAAGAACAATAACATGAAAACAGACAAATAAAAACACTGAAGATGTATCTTCATATACATTCATATTCATTTTCCTAGGATAAAGTACCCCAAAATACAAATGCTGAGAATTTAAGTATATATTCTGATGCTCTGCTATTCAGCACAGAAAGACACATAAACATTGTACTTTTATTAGAGGTTGTAATTTTTAGTAACATACAGGGAGACTCACTGTGGTCATCCTCCTTTAGGGTTGGTATCTCTCCTGTACTATAGACGCGTTTTTCTTTCATTTTTTTCCTCTCTAATAATTTAGGAGCTTGTTTCTAATCATGGTACTGCAATTTCTTTCTGGGTAAACTGATTATACCTTCATGATCCTTAACCATTAGAATAGATATTCTGTTCTGAGAATAAATCTACCACAGCTGTTCATTTAATTACTTGATTTCTTCAGTTTAGCAATGTAAATATTCAAAAATCTCAAAAAGTCCCACAAAAAACTTTTATACCCCATATTCTTTAAAAAAAATCTGGATTTAGGACTCTAAAATGAAAATCTTTTCTACAGAAAAATATCTCAATTTTTCCTACAAAAAATTCAAAATGAATCCACATTTTTCTACTGTTACATTTTCTATGAGATTCAGTGTTTCTGGTTAAGCTAGTAGGAATTTCACCTAGTTAATATTTGTAAATCATGAAATCTTAGCTTAGAGAACTGTGGAATTCAACAAAAGACGGAATGTAAAAATCATGTCAAATTTCCTTAATATTTCTTTCTATTAAAAAAAAAAAAGAGAAACACAATGCCATTTTACTCCCTTTAATGCTTCCAAGAAATACTATAAGCTTCCAAAATCTTCAACACTAAGATTTTTGCTTATTTTATTAAGATACTTAGTCAAAAGTAACTTTTCTGCAATTTTCTGTCACATATTCATAAAATGTAATAATCGTTATAATACAATTTAATTTAGAGTTCTCACCTGTAAAGTTGAATACGTATATGGATAGTGATAAGCAAAGTAGCAAACATCATCTTTATGTGGAAAACTGACAGTGAATGTGATTGTATAGTAGGATTTTCCCTTTTGCCCACCAGCAGCAACTGAACTTCTTGAGAAATGATTTCTGGAAAAACAAAAACAAAATATGTTCATTTCATCATCCACAAAAATCCTTTGATTTTACTTGCTACTTTTATTAAATAGAACTTCGAAGGGGGGACTCTAGTCTGTAAAAATTTAACTTAAAGCAGTTAATTGTTATTAGCCAGCAACACTATTTTTCATTTCTGGGTTTAATAATTAAATGAGCTAATACTCTACACATCCAAATTTTTTTTGACAGTCATATACATTACTAGATCAAGGCAATGATCATCAATAGCTGCTAAAACCATTAGAAGAAAGGCTGATGAACACCTGTATAGTGAATGGATCAGGCTACAATACCTAGAGATTCACCAACCAATTTTAAGATTACAAAAAGAGAAATAATCAGAGATAACAATGTTCACTGATGTGGTGCGATGGGAATTCAGTATACCATCTGTGAAATATTCCTGGCAAAGATCAAACCTGAAGTTGATCAAGCTTTGAGAACTAATTACAAAATTGGTGAAATACAAGTATTTGTTAAGCCACAGGGATGCAGTCAGCAAAATCCAAATGTAAAAATCCTGCATGGCAAATAATTCAGCTTCTTTAACAAATGAACAAGAAATTTTTAAAAGAGAAAAAGAAAGCCTATAAATTAAAACAACATTTATGAGGCAACTATTCAGGAAGTCATCAGTGTGTGGGTAATTGTTAAAACTGAGTGATAAATACACGGGGCCTCCTTATTCTATTCTCTGCTTTGGTAAATATTTGAAGATTTCCTTAATAAAACATTGCTAGAACTACACATTTTCAGATACTTTTCAGACATTAAGTATCACTGACATATGCTGATTTAAAGATCCTTTAGACCAGGCATAGTGACTCACGCCTATAATCCCAGCACTTTGGGAGGCTTAAGAGGGAGGACTGTTAGAGCCCAAGAGTACAAGGCTGCCTGGGCAACAAAGTGAAACCTTGTCTCTACAAAAAACTTTAAAAAATTAGTCGAATGTGGTGGCACATGCTTCAACCCAGGAGATCGAGGCTGCAGTGCCACTGCACTCTAGCCTGGACAAGAGTGAAACCCTGACTCAAACAAACAAGCAAGCAAGGTTTGTCTAACAACTTAATTTCTAAAATTCCAAATAATCTCGTATTAAGACACAAACTGAAGAAAATCCAGAACTTACAGGTTATATTTTCATGTAAACAAGTATTCAAAGTATTTCCAAACTGATAGTGTTCATTAACTTAGTCACCATATCTCAAATAGATACCCAGTGACAAGGTGCCAAGGATTAAGAGAAATGCAAAACAATTTCAAGAACAACTCGTCTTTGCCAGCTCTTTCCCCCCCAAAAGTTTAACATCTAATTGGAAATGTATTTATACTACAATAGCTACTTGGCACTTTGCAGGTTAAAAACCAGTAAAATATACATTATCTCATATAATGGCAAAGGATAGATTTTTTCCATTTTACAAGTAAGACAAATAAATATCAAAGGACATAACCGACTTGAAAAGTTAAAACACATGCAAAAATAGATTTTAATCCTTATTATCTGAATTTTAGGCTTCAGGAAAACAACTAGAATAGAGCCTGTTACATAGAAACGGTTAATAAATTTTTTTAAATTGAACTGAACTCTACTTCCAGATTAGGAAGTAGACAACAGAAAAAACAAAAACTAAATATTTCTATTGTGTAAAAGTAGAGAATGAAAGAAATAATACTTTTTGAAAAATATTATTTTAACCATCAATATTCTGAGTATTTCTGTCAAATCTAGCCAATCACTGCTCAGATCATTACTGCTTCACTCCAACTTTATGAAAGACAAATAATCAGAGATTTTTATCTTAGTCTACTATTAAAAGAAATCCTAGATGCTATTCCCTTTACATATTACTTTTACTTCTGTCTCTCATTTATTTGCTATTTATTTTTCTAATAAGATCAGGGGAGAAACCTTACTAAGATGAATCTCAAGGAACATTTTCTTTCCCAGAAAGTAAGAGCACTTAAAACCAAGTTTTTTCCAAAGCCATGTCATAAACTGTTAGAACAGTTTAATTTTAGAAATCTTCTTCTAACTGCCAAAGCTAAAAAAAAAAAAAAGAAAAAAAAAAAGAAAAAGAGGAGCATTAGTACTAAGGAAGCACACTCTAAAAAGTCAAAACCCACTATACAGAAATGCCAGGATTGAAATTATTAACAGAAAAGTGGATTCAACAGTGGACATTACCTGGAAACATATTATGCACAGAAATAGAGTAAAAATGAGAAGGTATCTGAGGATCGAGATAATTTAGAGGTAGAGTGGAAGAATAATGCAGTTATCATAGAAGTAGTAAATGACTTTTAGACCTTATTTATAATTCATTAAATGATTATCTATTTGAAGCCACAGAGGAATTGTGTAAGCTGACAGAATGCAGTGGAAACATTCCTCCAGTTAATATTTTGGAAATTAAAGAGGTAAATATTTGTGTGTTAATATAAAAAGGGTAAATATAAGAATTACATTTGATATCACAGGAAAAGCCAAAAGCTACCACAAATTATTACCTAATATTTCTAATTTCACTTTTATTCAATGAAGTTTCCAGAATTTTAAAGCTGAAAAAGCTGAGAACACATAACCATCTAAACACATTTGATTTTTACTATTATATCTCATAATTGGATCTCAAATTTTAAAGAAATCTTTAGAATTATTAAAGCATAGCACCACAATTCAAAGTATGTCAATAAAAATTCCACTTTTTACCTTTACATCGAAATAAAATGAAGTTAATATCCCCTTCTATAAGTTCATGTCCTATTACTCTTAGAATACTTACTTATAGTAACAAATGTCAGTCCCCACACGAATCCACCATGGTCTGGCATTTAATGCTTCCTGAACGGAATACATGAGTGGTTGCATACCTTTGAAAGACAGAGAAGGAAAAAAAACAGAGAGAAAAATAAAATTTTTTTCAGAGTTAAAAATTAGTCTTGCCTTTGTAGAAAGTACCAAACATTCAGGAAAATGGAAATAAATTACATTTCAGTTTTTTTAATGTATTAAAAAAAATCTGACGAATTTCCTAAAAATGCTTTAAGTCAATAAATGATATGCTTTTATTTTTTAGTTTAACTAAAATAGGATTACAACTGTAGGGTGAAAAGTCATTAAACTAAATATTCTACATTAAATCAATTAATAACAACATGTTCCTTCTAAAAAATGAAACAATCAAAAAATATATTAAGACATAATGTATGTTCACCCCCAACTCTCCATGGATTCCCTTCTACACTGAAATTAATGGGGAAACTACCACCAAAATAGCATGTTTGTTTTCTTCTCTACTCTTCTCCATGCAAATATGTGCTTGAATTGGAGAAGAGGAGAAACTGTTAACAAAGAAAGTATAGAGTATATTTTATTGGTTGTTCTTAGAAATATATTTTCTGTATGAACTTTTAAATCCTCTTACCTAATTTGCAAAATGATTCATCAGGTTTCTCTATAACTAGAATTGAATTAAATTAATATGTTAATTTTAGAAAGACTGACCATTTTTATTGAGAGCTGGTTTGACTTTCCTTAAGTTTTAACTTAGTGATAGAATCATTTTCTTTTCTTGGTACATAATAATTTTGTTAAACTTATGTGTATTTTCATAATACTTTTTTTCTTTCCATCTCTGACTGGTTATTCCAACAATGAAAAACTATTCATTTTTTTGTAATCGTCTTATAGTCACATTATTCAATACTCTTATTAGTTTTAAGAGGTTTTTAGTGATCTCCTGAATTTTCTAGAAATATAATCATATCATTTGTATCTAGAACATTTTAACTTCCCTTCTAGTATTCATATCAGTTTTTTTCATTTTTTACTTTTATTGCATTTAGTGAAATGAAACAACCTCAAAAAATGATGCTTAATATAGTGAGCAAACAATTCTGCCTTGTTCATAACTTTAACCAAAATGTTTTGCCATTCAATGAAACATTTGTCATTTTTAAATGCAAATCAACTTTAGTATGTTTAATAAAATGGGGGGTTTTTTTCTTCTTTTTCAAATTTCTTAAGTTGGGTACTTATTTTCAGTCTTTTTAATTTTTTTTATTTTTTTATGTTTTTATTTTTTTATTTTTTTTTGAGTTGGAGTCTCACTCTGTCGCCCAGACTGGAGTGCAGTGGCCGCTCCCGGCCACCGCAGCCTCAACCTGCTGGGCTCCGGCGATGCTTCCGCCTCAGCCTTCCGAGTAGCCGGAATTACAAGCGCGCGCTACCACGCCCAGCTAATTTTTATTTATTTATTGTAGAGATGAGGTCTCACCTGCCCAGGCAGGTCTCGAACCCACAGGCTCAGGCAATCCACTCACCTCAGTCTCCCAAAGGCGCGGGATTACAGGTTGAGCCACCAAGCCCGGCTTCAGTCTTTTTTAAATAATGCAAGCTATTAAAGATTTTCAGTGTTCTCTGAATACCAGTTTGCCTATGACCCATAAGTCAGAAGTGTTCTTCCTTGCACTACTTTCTAGCTATCCAACCCACCTTTCTGCTAGGATGGAAATGTTAAATATCTGCATTGCCCAATGTGGCAGCCATTAGCCATAGGTGGCTATTAAGCACCAGAAATACACCTAGCATCACTAAAGAACTAAACTGTGCAAATATTTAATTTTTAATTTTGTTTTTTAATTTTTTTTTTTTTTTTTTTTGAGTTGGAGTCTCACTCTGTCATCCAGACTGGAGTGCAGTGGCCGCTCCCGGCCACCGCAGCCTCGACCTGTTGGGCTCCGGCGATCCTTCCGCTCAGCCTTGCAAGTAGCTGGAACTACAGGCGCGTGCTACCACGCCCGGCTAATTTTTGACTTATTGTAGAGATGAGGTCTCACCAAGTTGCCCAGGAGGGTCTCGAACCTGCGGGTTCGGTCAATTCACTCACCTCAGCCTCCCAAAGGCGCAGGATTACAGGCTGAGCCACCGAGCCTGGCTAAATATTTAATTTTAATTCATTTAAATTTAAATAGCCATATGCAACTGGTAGCTACCATACTGAACACCACAATTCTAAATAACCATACTAGACAGCACAGTTCTAGATAAATTGTAACATCAGTTTTAAATCTTCTCTCCTGTTTCTTTTTTTTAAAGAAGAGTATTATATACTTTACAAGTACCCATTTTTTATTCAACTTTTGCTGATTTCTACTAATATTGTGGATCACAAACAATAAAATCTATAGAATTTTTTGAATCACTGATAAGTTTTCTCTGCAACAAAATATATAATAAAGTTTTAAATGTTTCATGAACATGAAGATAACCTATATCTCTATAAGAAAACTGAAAAAGCTGAAAAATAATGGTTCTTAATTATATTAAGATTCTGTAAATATAGCTCACTGCAAAGTCAAGGTGTATGCTCCCCAAAAGAAAACGTTTCCAGGGTTTGTTCAAATGGATTATTTCATATACTTCTTCAAATACTCCAGATTATATGAGATCTTAGTTTCTCATTTGTAGTGTGACTTTTTGCAGTTTTCCCTTTGCTGTTTTATCCTTTTATGAGAAAAGATTCATGGGCTTTCTTCCACCATACCCCTAATAGTTTGCCTTTCTTAATCATATTATATATATAATTTCTTAGAATCTAGTCTACATTTTTACAAAGCATACTTCCAGAATCTCACTAACTTCTAACTCTATTTGCATAAGCTGCTTTCCAGGAAATCTTAGCACTTATCTTATTTCTTTCCACTGGACTCCCAGATTAGTTTCACCATTTCTTATATTTCACATGTCCCTTTTTCTCAGATTTCAGTCTCAGATGGCTACAGAACATCCTCATATATATTCTCAAAAATAGGATTGTAGTGAATTCAAACATCAAGCTTGCTGACTACATTAATTGTCCATATCCTTGCTTATTGCCTTCTTTGATATGTCAAATTCTGAAAAGGGTGTTTAATTCTCATAACTGTTTTCTAAGTATTTCTGCTCTGCTTGTGGAAATGCCATGTGCTCACTACAGCATCTTCAAGGACCGTAACTTATAAATGCGTAATATCTATCTTTGACCAAGTCAGTGTTTTGACCTTGAAATTTTTGTTCGATATTAATATTACCACTTTTATTTTATTTGCATTTTCCTAGTTTATCTTTTGCCCAATTATTCATTCTGAACCTTTGTCAATGAACTCACTCTCTCTCTCTCTCTCATATACACATACACACCCCACTAACTTCTGTGACTTTCAATATCTGACTTTTGAAGACATTTCAGCTCATTCATTGTTAGTGATGGCAGATATACATTTCATTTTACTCCTTCCATCTTATTTTCTGCTACTTATCAAATGCTTTTTGCTTCTACATTACCACCCTATTTTTATTGATTTGGTTGCATTGCTCCACATTTCCTTTTCTTCCTCCTTAATTTAGACACTTTCTACCATGCTTTTCAATTCTACTCCCTCCTCTTACAGTCATAGATTAATATTTTTCTAACACTGCATTAAATCAAGTAACTAAAAGCTACCCCTCTGAGACAAGTTAATTTTCACTTCTCCCCTTTAAAATGTTTTTAGTTAACACATTTTATAAATCTCAATTCTTTCTGGAGATCTTTTTACTCACTGATTTTCTTCAGAAAGGGTTCAGGTAGCACATTCTCTGAATTCTTACATACACTGAGATGTGCATTGGTTTGACAGTGACAAACCAATTATATATTCTGCAAAAGACATTTGGCTGTCTACTAGCTTCAAGTGCCACAGATGAGAAGTCCAATACCAGCCTAATGCTTTCCATTTGCAGAACAATCTAGTGATTAAAAGCTTCCCGTCTGCAAACCAGACTACCTGGGTTTGAATCCACCATATACCAGATGCATGATCCTGGGCAAATTATGAACCAATCTATGCCCCCATTTTTCTCATCTGTAAAATAAGTGTAATGACCTTGCTGGGTGTGTTTGTGGATTAAGAATATCATGTGTTCACACTTAGAACAAAGCCTGCTATGCAGTTATATTCAATGAATGTTAGCTGTTACCATTATTTTCCTTCCTTTCCTTTTAAGTTATTCATTCACACAAAGAGGAAGCCTGTTAAGACTGTCTCTGTATACTTGAAACTCAGAAATTTCACTGGTACAGATAAAAGATATCTGGGTTCATTACCCCTTCCTGGGACTCAGGGAGCCATTTCAATCTGAAGTTTCAACCTCCTCCACACACACAAAACTCATTCTTATAGGTCACAAGGAGACACAAAGGAGGGACTTCAAGTTGGCTGACTAGGGCACTGATACCTACTCCACAAAGAAGAACCAAAGTACTGAGCAGATGATCACACTTGGCAATAGATCATCTAAGAGAAAACAGTGGAATTCAACAAGAGAGACAAGAAACTCCGAGACAAGGAAAGAGGGAAGCAAGGTAACCTGCTTGGCCAAGAACCCAGAGAGACTCCCAGGTGCAAACAGGTAAGTGTGAGAGAACCCAATGGTCCACATCTCCACTGCAAACTCCTCTAATTCTAGCCGCAGGAGAGTACCTCTACCCTCACAGGCCCTAAGGCTAGCACAGGGAGTTACCTGGAGACTACACAAAGGTACTGCTCCAGAGAGGGAGTTCACAAAAGGTCACAAACCCCAAGATCACACAACATGGTGCCATTTCAAGAGCCCAGACTGCATCCTGTCCTGGGACCCAAGAGCCCCTGAATCTCCATATCCCTGGAGTGCCACTGACATCCCCCAACTGGTAGTCATCACCACTACAGACCACTGCTGCAGAGACCTAAGTGCAAGCCACTGTCAGCAACCCTGCTGCCTCCAGCAGCAAAGTCACCACACATTTTCACATGTCCAGAGGACAGGCTCCCTCACTGCAGCCACTACAAAGGCTGCTGCCGCCGCCAGG